ACCTGGCTTTTCATTGGCAGCATAGTCTCCTGATCTGTTGGCTGCTCCATGCAAGGATAAAAATATAATTTATGTTTAAAAGCAGCCATTCAGGGTGCCAACCAAAAGTGGCCCTTCCCACATTTCTAAAACACCATGAGAGCATCTCACCATGTCGAGAATCACTGTGTGGAAGTGTCCCTAGGTGGAAGGTGAGAAACCCCCCCAGCTCTCTCAGTCCCCGCCCCCCCTCCAAGCTCCATGCACATCAGTGCTTTCCCTCTGTTTTGTCCGTTTTTCTCTGTTCACTCACAGGTTCACAGGTTGACCCCGACATCCCCAGCCTGCGAGGATGGGGCACCAGAGAATTCCCTGGCCGGTCACAGCTCACCCACCAGCCTCTGGTCCTCTCCGAGAGGATTTGTTCCATAGACTCTTCTTTATGTGTTTCCACTTAACTTGGATTCTGCTTGATCTGTCTAATTTCATCGACTTCTTCTTTTATTACTGCCAGTTCTTTTGGGAGGAGCGCTAAAATTAGTTTCCTGGCCTCCATAAGCCGGGAGGCAGTTCCCCCCAGGAGAAAAGCTTGGTGTAACCAAGGGCCTCTGCACATACTCATGTGCCCAGTTACATCTGGTGATGTGAGCTGGGTGCGTGGGCTTCGAGGTTGCAAATAAAACAAGTTCGGATTTGTGAGCAAAAGCAGACAGCAGAGGAAACTGGAGGAGCCTCCACACACATGGATTTGGCAGGAATTTGCTTCAGTAAGATTAATAGGTTAAGTAACGGGATTTAGAAAATATGGACAGATTAGCCCAAGATGGCTTATTTAGCAAATGAATCTTTAATATTCAATTTATCTCTATTTTCTCTTTTTATAACTCAGAAAAGGCTCTTACTTTGCCTTCCCTCCTCTCCCTGAAGCCATGGCCCAAATTCTGGCCTCTCTGTAACTGCCCCGGGTCATCTGGGACTCTTGGAATGCCTTCCAGTGCTACCAGGTCACTCCCTCCCTGCCCTCCACCTCTGCTGTCTCCTCCATGCAGGGCAAAGTTCAGGTTCTTAGAAACAGATCAGGCGGATGCCGCCTCTGCTGCCTGGCTGTTATGCTGGGCTCCAAGGTGCCTGCAGGTTGAAGGCTCTTGTCCTCTGTGAGCCGCCCTCCCCCAGGGCATGCACACCTCTCTCGGCAGTCACTCTGGTGGGGCGCAGTCCCCCTCCAGTGCTCTGACACCGCCACCAGATTAAATAAGGATATTCAGTAAAATTCAAATTTCAGATGAACCACACGTAATTTGGGGGATATACACAGAGTTAAAACGTGTGCCTGAAATTCAAACTTAATTGGGCATCCTGTGTTTATATTTGCTAAGTCTAGCAATGCTGTCCTGTAGGGGACAGGGGAAGGGGACGTTACCAGAACCTCTGCAGTTAGTCCTGGTCTCCTGCGAGCCATGGCAGCACACGGCGAATTACAGGAAAGGTAGAAAAATGAGACTGAGAAGAAGCTGAGCTTTGGGTCTGATCAGTGCTGCTCTGGGCAGCAAAGACAAAGCCCCCAGCTTACCACACCTTTTATTCAGTACATCAGGAGAAACAAATGTAACAAATGACTTGCAGAGAGTTCAATAGTTCACATTGGGATAAACAAGGTGTAATGGAAGGCTTGCAGAGAGTTCAGTACATCTCCGGCAAACAAGATGTTAATCAGTCCAAGAACAATGAGGAATTGAGCAGATGTTTGTTCTCCCAGGATGTTTCTTGTCCTGGAGAATCACAGCATCACTGGATCACTGAAGTCTCAGTTGTGACCGGAGGCCAAACTGGAGTTATTCTGTAGCTGGGCTGTAGGCAAGAGAGCTAGGCTAACCAAATGATTTATCCCTAGAATTATGTAGCATTGCTCCCAACACTGTCCTACCCCTCTGCCTTTTCCTTCTGGAACTTCCCCCTCTGTTCCAAGGGCTGCCTCCACCCTGGATGTGATTGCAGTGTCTGTTAGCACCTGTTCCTCTCAGTGATTTTGGCCAGTGGCGTTCATTAGAACAGAGGTTGCAAGAGGAGGAGGCCCTGATTCATTTGTGGCCCCTGCACCACCAGAGGGTGACTCATTGGTGCTGGCTGATGACCAGTATCTCTCGGGAACAGGAAATGCGGACTGGGTCACAGCATGCAGGCACAGGATGTTCTGGCCTCCGGCCACCTCTGGGTTCGCTGTTCTGATGCTGTGTCCTCACCTGCCCTGTGTGTTCTTGGGCTGACCACTGGAACTGTGCCCGCTGTGGTGGCCCAGCCCCACCCATCCCCAGCAAGCCTCCTCCCTCCCTGTCAGGGCTGCAGGGAAGGTGACTGACCCGATGATGGACAGAGGCATAGGAGCTCCACAACAGGACTCTCCTGGCGCTCCTGGATTTGCTGCAGCTTGCTGGTGTGTGCACTGAAAGACATTTCTGAAATTTTTATCTACCTTTGTGTAACTTTTTCTTAAGTTGAAGTGGAGCAGAGCTGAGGTTTGGTTTCAGGATTTCCTTGGGGGGCACGCAGTAGATGAAGATCCTCAATTGATTCCTTCGGAACAGGCAAGGGCACCTAGTTTCAGTCTGCACACAGGAACTGTTCGTTTCTTCCCACTGATGCTGAAAACTTGAGCTATAATGCATTGTTTGGATCTGGGTTTATTATAAAATGTCTGAGAAGTGCTTACTCTTATAGAGAAACAGGAAAAAAATCCAATTATCTCCACCCTTGCTAACCAGAACTAAGTATATCTTTCCTATGTTTTGTTTTGAGATGCTTTTTGGTTCATAATTGGGTTCATAATTATATATAAATTTTTTTCTGTTTAAAAAATAATGTCATCCCACACCTTAGAAAATACTGTTAATAGCTGTCCAACATCTCATAAAATGAAAGTAATAATTTCTTGTACTTTCCCCTACTTTGACAGTTAAATAATTTATGCTTTTTTCCAGTACATAAGTTTGTAATCAGATGCATATCACCACTCCTATTGTTTTGTCAGTTAGGTTCCTAGGATTTTAATCCTAATTCAAAATCTACAAAGCAAGTCAGTAACGGTGTCCGAATCCTCTTACCGACTTTCTTCTGTGAAGGTGATGGGCCTCACGCGGCTGTGTCCAGCAGGACCCTGAGCATGGCCATGTCACCTGTGAGGTCCCTCAGCAGGAAAACTTCCTGGGCAAGCAGCAGAGCAAAGCAGTGGCGAGCATTTCTAGAACGATTTCCCCGTGTCTGCTTATTCCTACATGTCCTCTTATTCCTAGCATTGTGTTCTTCATGACTGTGTGGATAGGGGCTTCCGCTGTAACTGGGAGCTAAGGAAACTGAGGTGCTAGAGATGGGATGAATCTCCTTGCTTGTCTGAGGCAAGGGCAACTAGTCTGAGAGGACACCCCCTTGTCCCCTGGCTGTGGCACCTTTGTGCTCCCATGAGTAATGAAAGAGAGGAGGCCAGCCAGGGTGTGGCTTTGGGAACCAACAGCAGTGTGTCCTTGGACAGGCCTGGCTGTCCTCTCTTTCTGTTAGGAAGGTAGAAGTGATAATAGGAATGGCACATCAAGGATTGCAGTGCTGTGTGAATTAATACAGTCAGGACCACAGACAGTGACCTGGACAGCCGGAGCCCATGGACTGCCACTGCAATGTGACCTGATTATCCTGGAGGGCCGCGTCCTCTTTCTACAAAGGAATGGAGCTTGGTTTGCTAGGGTCTTCAAGAACATCTGCCTGCAGTTGTTTGCCAGGCCTGCCATAACCAAATATCACGTCAGGGGCAGTTGAAAACAGGTGTCGTTGTCTCACTGTCCTGGAGGCTGGGATCCAAGGTATCTCCGGGTCAGTTTCTGTCTGTGGCTCGTAGGTGGCCGACTTCTCCGTGTCCTCACATGGTCACCCCTCTGTGTAGCTGTGTCCTGATCTCTTATGATTAGGGCACCACACCCGCCCTTTGTCCTCATTGAGCCTTAAGAACTCCGTCAGGACCATCTTTCCAAGTTCAGTCCCACTTTGAGAGAAATGCTCAGGGCTAAGCCTTCACCATGGGGATTTTTGGGGACACAAGGCGGCCCATAGCCAGTGTTCAGCACTAGACCCCAACAGTTCCACCCCTCCCCTCTCTTTCTGAAGGTCATGGGTTTTTGAGTGAGTGATCACTTTTGAATATCCTAGTTAGAAAGTGTACACACTTATGTGTGTCTCTGATGGTCAAAGTAATAAAATCATATTCATATGGGTCTTTCTCATTCCAACCACTTGTAGAATTTAGGCCTTTAGGTAAGTTATTCTCATCTTAAACTAGCATGTACATATTAAAGAAAATTGGGACTGTTAAGAATTAAATCCCCTTTCATTTTGACATATAATAAGGGGAAAGTGACTTAAAATGGACTGAAATGAATTTGCAGAATACATTTGAGGAATGTTGATGGTTTTCATATGGAAATGTTAGTGTTAGGAATTATTCTTCTTTGTGGAAGTTTTAATTAATTCTTTCATGCACTTCATGCTCTTTCTCTCATCTGGCGATCCATGCAAACATCAAAGATAGGCAAAGAAGAGCTGTAGCAAGATAGAGTGGCACTATGGGGCGGAGGGTGAAACATTACTCTGAGGAATATTCAGTAATTATTCAACGATACTTTATGAACTCCCTCAGGGCATCTTGGGGGAATGGATGTAGGGGTGCTAGCAGATGGCCTCACTCAGGCCAAGGAGAGAGATTTGAGGCCCCCCTCATGGCTGATATGCTCCTCCCAGGACTTTGCTGGTTTGTGCATGGGATGCATGTTGAGAACATTAACATTAAATAACATTTAAAGAGGATCAAGATGCGCTATGTATATGTATCAATTCTCCATGATGAATGTGTTTATCACATATCACAAGTATATACTGAAAAGGAAAGATATTTTTATATTAATTAAGATATTCTATTACAGAGCCCTCATCTCCATAGAAAAACACAGTTCAACTGATTTGAGTCATATCTTACTGTTTAGGAGCCTTTGGGCTGCGGAAACCATGGTATTTCCCCCTGACTGCATCATATTGGAAGAGCATGTGTGGCTTGGTGGAGAAACAGCAACTATCTCTAAGTTCTAGTATGTTCTTTGTCAATGAGGACTTTGGCAAGAAAGGTTTGTAAAGGAGTAACACTGCTGAATGCATGGAGGCCCCCCCAGCAATTTTCTTTTTCCGTTTCCATATGAGCCTTTATGACTGGGTACTGACACCCGGAGAGCACTTTGCAGCTCTCTCTGTCTCCATGACAGCCACAGGACCACATTTTAGTCCAGGTCCCTGGTCCTTTTTAGCCTGCATCATCTAGAAACCCCAGAGTGGCTCCTGCTACGTGTGATTTATTATTTATCTATATTATTTGCATTTGCACATATCTAAGAATTCTGAGAAATGGAAGGATTGGTCTAAAATGAATATGTAAAAAAAAACAAAAGCCAAAGTTGGCAGCTACCGGGTGGGGTGCACTGTGAAATGTTTGGAGTTTCCCACCCACTGACTTCGTGACAGAGGGAGTTTGTCTTCCACTCACAAATGGGGAAATTCTCAGGGTGGTCAGTTTCAGGCTCTCAGGAGACAGGGGCAGAACAGTCCCATCCCTCTACATTCCGTGCAGGGCTGGTCCTGTGGGCTGGGCACACAGGCCCTTTGACTAAAGGACCACTCAGGGAGTCTAAGTGTGAACTGGGAGCTCCCATTATGGTGGCCCTGTACTGTAGGTCAGCATCAGAAACTCAGTTTTTTTCCTGATTAAACAAGGAAACTATGAACCTTTTAGAAAGTTTGGAACATGCCAGCCAGCACCTACCAACTCTTACCTCCAGAGAGCACTTTTTATGGACCCTTTGGTGTATAATGAACCTGCCTGTTGTTTGGTCTCTGCATCTACACAAATTTCAGTGGGTCTTTTTTATTCTTTTGTAAACTGGGCTTTGTCATCTGTGATTTCACATTTTGGTCATTACATAACTCCCTTCTTGCTTTCAACAAAGATGTTTGAACTATGCAGTGTGTTTCACAGAGCCGGGGTTCAGTTGCAAAGAAAGCAATGAATGAATAAGTGCAAACACTGTTTTGGGAGCTTTTGAAATCTTCTCAGGATAAATTGTCATCTTCCTCACAGGCTCATCACAGCAAAGCAGGGGAGGAGAGCTTGAGGGGGGGCCTCTTGGAGTCTCCCTGGTGTCTGTCACCAAGAAGTATGAGGGCCACAAGGTGGCGGTGCAGGACTTGACCCTCACCTTCTACAGGGGCCAGATCACTGCCCTCCTGGGGACCAATGGCGCGGGGAAGACCACTGTCATGTGAGTTCTCTTTACCTCCATTCCCTTCTTAAAGGCATCAGTTCACCTGGGACACAGAAGGTTTGCTTTTTTTCCTCTTTCATTTCTTTTGAGTCTTAGTACTGAGTCAGAGACAGAGGAGAGAGCTCGGGCTCCGAGAACTGCCCGGCCCTCACTTACACCACAGTTGCCTTTTAGGCCTACAGCCAAAGAGGTGGGGATGGGTGGACTGTGCTTTAAAAAATTAGTTCTGTTCTTTTTTCTTTTTAACAAATAATTCATCCTGTTTTACCTTACACTTTGAAAGTCCTTTGACACTTTTAGTTTTTGTTGTACTAAGTGTAATTTTGCTTGCAGGTCTGTAAAGATGATGAAAAGGAGAAGGATATTTGTGAATTCTTTACTCACCTTTGTTTCACCTTCTATTTTGTTGTTGTTGTTGTTGCTAAGGCTTGGTTTTTGGTTTAGCATCCAAGAGTTCCACATTTGATTAAAGGATCCAATCTTATGGACCATCTCCCTCCCACCCAAAAAACAATAAGGCCCGACATTCATGACCCCCAGCTCGTCATACCCCAGTGCTAACTATCAAAATTATAGACTATGTCTTTACAAATCACTTTCTTTTTTCACTATATATAAAGAACTGACATACAATTAGTGAAAACAATGAAACAGTCTTTACCCCAATCTCATTAAGAAAGATAGAAAAATAAAATATATAAGCATTTAGAAATCTCACATTGGAAACAAGCTGTAGGAAGAAATAAGAGCTATGCTTCTTTGGATGCTGAAATAGAACTGACTGAAAAACTCTCTGAGTTTTTCTTTTTTCTTTTTAGTGTCTGCAAATTGGGCAAGCTCCAGTTTATAAATAATAACATGAAAAGCTAGCATTACACATCCTGCTTTTACTGACACAACAACATTTCCTGCAAGGAAACCTGGAGTTCTTGTTGAGCAGAATGATGCAAACTGCATTTGTGGTTTCTGGATGTTTCAAGGTTGTCAGCCTGAGTTGCTTTTAGTGCCCCTTTGAAGTACACTTTGAGTCATCCTAAGTGTCTGTGTCTTCCTGGCAGGGTTTAGATGAGAGGCCAGTGAGTGAACCAGGTCCTTGGCAGACATGTAAAACAAAAATCTTTGAGATTCAAGAAGAACATGGAGGGTAGGCCCTCCCTGTCCACGGCTCTCCACCACAGATTCAACCAGGTGTGGATTAAAAATATTTGAAAAAAATTGCACCTGTTCTGAACGTGTACAGACTCTTGTCATTATTTTCTAAATTGTAAGATGATTATTTATGTAACATTTGCGTTAGGTGTCCTAGGTAATCTACAGAGGATTTAATGTATGGAGGAGGATGGCACAGGTTACATGTAAATACTATGCCATGTTTCCTAAGGAATTTGAGCAACTGGAGACTTTGGCATCCATGGGGGCCCTGGAAGCAGCCCCAGAGTGTACTCAGGGAGCACTGTATGAACTATACTATTGTATTCCGAAAATAGGGCTGAAAATAATATAGCAAAGACTTGTTCACTGAGTTCATCGAGGTATAATTTGTGGGTAGTGGACAGAGTCTATTTGTGCGCACAGTTTCGTGAGTTTGAACATATTTGCTTCATGCTCGCAGAAGCACTGGAGTAAAGATATGGCCCATTCTGTCTCCCTCCAAGATTCCCTCTGTCCTTCTGTGGCCCTGGGCCCCAGTGGATGCTGATGTGCTGATCATCCCCATGAGCTGATTTACAAATCTAGAACTTTCTGCCAGTAGGATTGAGTCTGGCTTCCTTCACTTAGCCCACCCATCCTTGGTTGTCGTCTCCTAGCAGCTCGGTCCTGTGATTGCTGAGTGGTATTCTACTTCTTGGAGGCACTACAGTTTGGGTCCCTTTCCTGTGTTGGTGGCAGCTGGATCTGTTCCCAGTTTTCAGTGACAGTGAGCAAAGCTGCCGTGAGCATCTGTGCACCTGCCCTGGTACTGCACCTGTTTTGATTTCTCTTGCATAAAAACTTAGGAGTAGATTTTCTAGGGCCTCTGGTAGGTACATGATTAACTTTTTAAAAGTCAGAAAATAGCTTAGAATGTAAATAAATAATAAGCTTCTTGAGTCAGGGAAGGAGAAGTAGCAACCCCCAGGCTTCTTGAGGTGCAGTCGAGCGAGTGATTTCCTGAGCACTGGGCCCTTGGGTCCTTCGTTGTGGCAGGTACAGATGATCCCAGAGAGCGGAAGAAAAGCTTGGGACTGCTTGGAGTTGAGGCTGGCATTTCTGTTTGCTTATGTCAAATCATGAGGTCTTTGGTAGATATGTCATTTTAAAAGTCTGTATCCTTCTCTGTAAAAGCAAAGCTGGCATTTCATCCCAAAGTCTAGGTGGCCTGTGATCACTGTGTAGCCTGTGGATGATAGGCATCATCACATGCATACCTTCCCAAGACTTTCTGCCTCCCAGCTCTTCACTGCTTAGTAGCAGATGGGTGGGCGGAAGGTGTGTGTTCCACACCAGCATCACCCTGGGGTCGGCTGGGCTGCTGGCATCCAGTTCCAGCTATGTACAAGCTCCACAGTGATCTGCGTTCCCCGGGTCTGTTTTCCTGGGCAGATCCATGTTGACTGGGCTCTACCCTCCCACTTCTGGAACCATCCTCATCAATGGCAGAAACCTGCAGACAGACTTGTCCAGCATCCGAGCAGAGCTGGGGGTGTGTCCACAGCAGGATGTCCTCCTGGACAACCTCACCATCCAGGAGCATCTGCAGCTCTTTGCGGCCATAAAGGCACCACAGTGGACTAAGAAGGAGCGACAGCAGCAAGTCAATAAGTGAGTAAGCAGCCCTCACCCCCCAGGCCACCTCCCAGAAGTGGAGATGGCAGAAGGAGACTTCACACAGTGGCCAGTGTCTGTGCTCAGAGTGGTTCTCAGCCATGGAACTGTGGCACAGCCAGCAGCAGCGGGGGTCTGAGGAGGCTTTGCAAGTGCGATGCCAAATATGATTTGTTTATCTTTGGCATGGGAGTGTGATAGGCTGGGGTGGAAGTCGGTGTGTCTGGAGCAGAGTCCCTTTAGGGGTCCCAAAATAAAAAGAATGCCAAGGTAGGCAAGAAAACTGGTTGGGAAGAGCCTTACTAGACAGGCAGAGGGTTGGAGCTTGGTTCTGCAGGTAGGTACTGAGTGGGGCAGGGTGACTGGAAGGGAGGTCCCATTGCACATGCCCAGCCCATGGACCGGACATGACAGGCCATGTCCCTTGTTACTTGCTTCTTCATTGCCGGAAGCACAGCTGGCAGGAGTGCCAATAATAATCAGCAGACATGGGAACACAAAGCACACTGTCCCAGGCCACCAGACTGTGGAGAAGCTTCTGGATTGGAGTGGAGTTTGGGTTGGGTGGTAAGAAGACTGTGGTGCATGGCTGGATGGAGAGGCCTTTAGGAGGTCAGGACGATGATCCAGGGAGGGTGGGTGTTGGGCCTTTCTTGGGAGGGTCAGCTTTGCAGAAGTGAGAAGAGGAGTTGAGGAAGCAGCCAGGGGGAGCCCTTGTGGGTCTGGGGGAAGCGCTGATGGGAGGATCGTGCTGGTGGAGACCACAGGAGTGGTCTCATTTGAAGGTCTCTCCTCGGGAGACATGGAGGGCTTTCTCCAGTTTGTAGATGAGGCAGCTGGGGCTCAGGGAATGGGGCCGTGCGGCTCACACAGTGGGGTGAGGGTAGGGCCCAGGTGGCTCCATGCCAAGCACACTAGGCTGCTCTCCTCTGGGATGGTTGCTATGCTACAGCATGTGGGATGGAGGCCTGTAGGAAGGCGGGACCTGCTGGGGAGAGGAAGGGGATTCTCCAGTACGTGGCTGGTGTTATTGCCCCTACTGCAGTATAGACAGCCCTCAGGAGCTCTCTGGTCTAAGAAGTGAAGGTGACTTGTTCCCAGCCTCTCCCCTGGCTCCAGTGAGTGGGGGTGACATGCCTTTGGTCGTGATGGGCAGGGCAGGTGGCCCCACAGTGCCCCACAGTGGGGCCCACATGGGGGACAGAGCCCCAACTCTTCATGGAGTGGGTCCATGCAGTGTCAGTCTGTGCAGAGCCTTCCCTGCATGAGGTCATCTTTGGGAGCAGATGAGTCTGCTCACACACATGGGTCCCTAAGTGGACACAGTCTGGCAGGATTATGGAAGCTCTTGTTAGAAAGAAACAAATGCAGAATGTGGTGGAGGCGCACATTACTCAGGGACCAGGAGGTGCAGGCAGAGTGGGAAGAAGCCACGATCTCATTTTGAAATAGGTGGTGGTGTTTAGACCCCAGCCACAACAGGTTCTGGGGTAGAACAAAGCAAAGCTCTTTGGACAGATGCTTACACCGTGAGGTCAAATACAGATTGCATCTGGACTCATGGACAAATCCTCCAGGGACAGGGTCCACTGCGGACAGCGGCATGTGCTACCTGTTCTCTCTTTATTTTCCCTCTTTCAAAGTTGGCACATTAACAGGGCATTCTCTGCTCCAAGGTGGGCTGATCCGTGTGCCATGATGTCTTCAGAAAGTGGCTGAGTGACTGTCATCATTTAAGTGACAGTGGGCCCTTGAATGCACAGAGAAAGGTTAATATAGAGCAAAGAAACCTATTTTAAGTTTGAGTGGGTACTTAATAAGAGGTGGCCAGGTATTGTGTGGACCACATATCACTTGATAACAAATTGATAATGTACAGCCCAATCTCATCTATAAAGAAAAACACAAGCCACCTATTTTAATTTTTAAAAATTCTGTCTACCTTGGGCTGCAGTAAACCCTACTGTGATTGTGACTGAGGCCTAAATTGAGCATCCACCAGTGCCACATGGCCCTTGTCCTCTTATCTGAGTACCAGGCAACCTTAATGGTTATCAATTCCCAGTGTGTTGCCTGGCAACAAAGTCAATTTGCACAAAAGCAATCAGAGCGAGATCATGTTTTAGGACAGTAGTTCTCAATTAGAGGGAAGGAAAACTGAAAACATCACATTCACAGCCAACATGCTTCTTATTAGCATCCCATGGCACTACTTGTTTTCCTTCATGCAGAGCTTTGGAGCTTTGTTAAAATGGGAGTTTAAGGGAGGAAGCAGCCCTCAGGAAGTTTAAGAGTGAACCTTTGTCATGAGGCTGGCTGTCACACCGTCTTGCCCTTACTTCAGCCTAGAAAAGATCGGAGTTACCAAGAGAGGACCATACTCAAGCCTTTAGGTCAACGGGCAGCGATTACGTAGCTAAGTTTACCACTTGGGATCCTAGAGCGCACTGTGGGAATCAGGCTGGTTTGGAGTAACGAGGTTGCAGAGGACACGCATGAAGATAGAGTGGGGCCTGGATACCCCAACGCAATGGTGATGGTGAAGGAGGAGGAACCAGCCAAGGAGGCAAGAGGGGAGCCCCTGGGGAGGGAGTGCAGGGAAGCAGCTCCACCAGGGAGCAGAGTGTGGTGGGGGCAGGGGGCTGTGGAGGGTCCAGTGAGGTGGGACTAGAACGGACCCCGGGATGCAGTAAGCTCAGGCCGTCAGTGACCTCTAGAAGGGCAACTTTGACAGCATGATGGGCTGCAAATCTTGTTGGATCCAACTAAAGAGAGAAGGGAAGGAGAAAGGTTGGCAGCAGCACATTTCCCCAGGCATTTCCCTACGCAGAGGAGCAGACTGAGACCAAGGGATGTAAGAGTGAGATCAACAGAAGGACGCTTCAGAAAGAGGACTCGTAGCATCATGTCTGGGCGCTGCCGAGCCTTCCAGTTGGAACACGGCCCATACAGGACAGGGAGGCGCCTAGACAAGCAGCGAGGCGCCAGCTCTCCTGAGCCTGCGTAGCTTGCAGGAGCCGAGGCAGAGTATGTGACCTCTATTCGGAGTCAGTGTTTTTCAGGATTAAGAGTGCGTGGAGAGAGGTGATAATGATTCTGGGCACAGACTTACAGCTTAGAGGCAATAGGAAGAAAGCCCTCCAGGGAGGAGGACGATGAAAGCCTGATTTTGTGGCATAAGTGATTGCTGTGTGCAGAGTGCCTGAGGAAACAGCTGCGGACAGAAGAGGTGCAGAGCTGAGACTCTGAGGAGCTGTGGTTGCCGCAGATGGCAGGATCTGGGGTGTGAGTGGTGGGAAGGGTGGAGGTGAAGAGAGGAGTAAGCATTTTAGGACACACGATTGGGAGGTTATCTGAAAAAAGTATTTTTCCCCTTTTCCTATTGCCTAGCAAAGTTCTTACATTAGAGAGTTTTCCTGTTCTTTCGAGAAGGAATATCGAAATTTAAACGTGCAAAGACTATTTTTTCTTTTTGGTATATTACAGATCAGTAACTAGAAAAGTACTAGCTCCTACCTAACCCTAGACCTTAAAATTAAAGAAAAACTTATCGAATAAAAACATTTGGCCAGTGTTTACAGACTGTTTTGTTCTTTAAAGTTCATTCTAAGTATTGGAATCATGACTAGAAAACACCAGAAAGGATTGGAGTGGATTTTCTAAGAGTCTGGCTCCTGTCCCAAGAGCAGGTCTTTGGATGTTGTTCTACTGTCCCCAGACCACCACTCAGTGGCTCAGGGTCCTAGCAAAGCATCCTTCCCTGGAAACAAGTCAAGACCTCTGACCTTCTGCAGGATTGGTGGGTGTCACATTCATGGATGTGCAGTCCATTCCGGGACACAGAGGGGATGAGGTGCAGCCTTGTCCTTGGCAAAACCCCAGTCCACACTGGAGGAGAGGCAGTGAAGGGGTGCCTCTGACAGGTGTCGCCATGACACAATGGACACTAAAGTGGCAATGGCAAAGGCATGTCCTGGCTTCAGAATCCAGCTCTGCCACTTGGTTACAAACTTTGTTATAATGTGTACTTTCTCTAGTTTGGGTTTCCCAAATACCACGTGGTTCTCATAACAGAAAGACCCTTCTCGGAAGGTTGTGTGAATTATGTTCATTTATACATACAAAGCGCTAAAAATAGTACCTGGTATAGGATACATGCCTAATAAATGTTAATTATGATTATCCAGGCCTATTTCTAAAATTAAAACATAGTAACTTACTGGGATTCCTTCTGTGGAGAGAATTTATGAGATGAATACATGGCATTCTTTAAATCCATAACTACATCCCATTGCACTGTGGTCTGAGAAGATCCTGCTTTGTGTTGGACTCACCCAAGACCCATGACTCCTTATCTCTTTTGAGTGCCCTGTGGTGCTCTCTGCTGGTTCTGCAGTATTTACCCCTGGTGTTCTAGTTGGTTACAGACACGGTATTTCTCCACAGCCCCAGGTCTGCTGGAGAAGGGCTTGAACTGAGTTGCTGCCCCTCTCCAGGTGTGTGCTTTCTGCACCAGCACCTGCAGGTCCCCGTGTGCAGTCTGTGAGAGTTTATAAAATTCTCATGAATGAAACACACCCACCCTTACTCCTTCTACTTGAAAGTGATGACTACATTTGGCCTTAAGATGAAGTCATATGTTTTGCTTACAACTTGCGTGGCACCTTCCTAGTGAAAGTGCTGGGACAGACCACACAGAGGGAGATGAGGTGGTACAGGGCCCAGACTGCTGCTGAATCACAAAGCCAGGCCTAGAAGAGGAGGTGGTCGGGTTTGCAATGAGGCTGCACCATGAGGCCACCCAACAGTCAGCGTAGGCAGCCAGAATGGACAGACAGAGGAGGGGGTTGGTTTCGTGTGCAAATATGATGAGAACATGCATATCTGAGAATAGATGAGTTTGCTGACTTGTTTGCTCATCTGTCTTCTTTGCTGACTGAGGTCTGGTCAGTGCATCTGGCTTGGGCTTAGCAGATTCGAATCTACTGTGTGGTACCATACAGTGGGTGGCAATGGGAGATCATGAGGTCGAGGCAGTGCCTGATGCAGCCTAGAGCTCTTCATCTTCCTCCTTTCAATGGGGACGCTGTTGGCCAGGGCATCTTCCTGGCTGGGCTCACTGATGCCCCAATCTGGGCCCAGCTATCTGGCATGCTGCCTTGGTTCATCCAGTCCCAACCAGATAGGAGAGCTGTCCATGCAATGGAAAAATGAGTTTATTTACAGTTTCGCCAGATAGGGAGGTCAGCCAGCTCACTCCCCTGTGAACCATAGAAACAGCAGTTTACAGCAGGGGTAAAACAAAAGCCAGGGAGTGGGCTGCAGATTTACCTAAACTTTGGCCCAGAGGGATGGAAGCTCCAATGCTTCTGGGCCTCAGGGCTGGGAGTGGTAGCAGTTAACACTCCACCTGAAGAAGCTTGGAGAAAGTGCTCTTCACCAAGTACTCTAAGGTTTAGAGGCCCATTTTAACCTCTGGGTTCCAGAAAGACCTGAAAAGCAGGGCGTGCTTAGTGCTGGGAATTTAGGTCCGGACAGAAAGCATACTTGGGGACTTGGGCTAAACATAAAACACATGGGCTAAAAACTGGACTCCAAAAAGCTGGCTGGAGCTCTTTCTGGGTCAGAATGGGAAGTGTGTGAATAATGAAACAGACATGAAAAACTTACATGGTCATCAGGCAAGAGCCCTTGGGTCTCCCTCAAGTCTCTGCTTAGGACTCTGCACACTTCTCGGACTTGGTAAGAGCTGTTGGAAGTATCTAGCGCTGCGTGGCTGCCTGAGGGGGAAGGACCCTTAATCTCTGGGCTCAGAGTCACGCAGGCCTGAAGCCCCGGGGGAGTGAACCATGGGGCCTGAGAGGCCAGGGGAAGGCTTCCAAGGAACATAGGGTCTTCCACAGTGGTGGGCTAAACATTCGTGGAGAGTCAACAGGGCCAGCAGGGTGAAGAGGGGGACACTGTGAGAGAGAGGAGGGGGCAGGCTTCACACAGGGCAGTGTTTGAACAGGGACCTCGCATCTGGAGCACTCAAGACTGAAAGGTCCGTGAGAACAGAAAGTTACTCTGCCTTTTGTGGCAACTGGAGATTTGTGCTTTGCCTATGTCCTGCCGTGGAACTTCCTGACTACTCAGGAAGGTGCAGATTTTGCACATGGTGGGCCAGAGAGCTCAAGGCCTTCTCTGGTGAGTGCTGAGGCTCTGATTCCTCTGACGCTATGCTCCATCCTGCCCCTCGGGGACACAAGTGCCTCCTCATCAGGCCGTGTGCATGGCCTGGAGCATGAGCCTCCCCAGAGAGGGGAAGACCAGAGCACCTTCCCGAACTGTACCTGGGCTGCGCTGCTCCATCGAGGCTGCCGTGCCCCTGCAGAGTCCAACCCAAGCCCCTCTGAGGTAGTGGTGGCTTACATGGATTTTGACCACTATAAGCTTTCATGCATGAAGTGAAATTCAAATCAAAGCCTTCAGGTGTTCAGGGAGAAGACTGAGAGCTTTCTTGTCATTTCAGAACTCTTGAGGATGTGGGGCTCACTCAGCACCAGCACAAACAAACCCAGGCCCTGTCTGGAGGCACGAGGAGGAAGCTGTCCATCGCCATTGCTTTCCTGGGCCAGTCGAGTATCGTGGTCCTGGACGAGCCCACCAGCGGGGTGGACCCCTGTTCCCGCCGCAGCCTCTGGGACATTCTGCTCAAGTACCGGGAAGGTAGGAGCTGGGCTTTGTTCTACTTTCTCTCCCAGGATGTTGAGGCACAGGAGTGGGTGTCTACCATGCATGAAGAACCAAGTCACATCCCAGTGAGGACTCACTGTCATTTGCAGAACAAATGCAATCTTCACAGAAACAGAGAGATACAGTCATTAGATTGTACCTCTGTAGCATTCAGAATTGCTTACTTTGTGCTTGACCTTTGAACTCAGTATAAGCAACTACACTGTCAGTAAACATCACCACACACAATTTCATTGAAACTATCTTTGTCCCACCTGCATCCCACTCTGGAACCACATATCATTAAAGAAAGCTTTTAGAGATCATCCACTTCCTGTGTTAGTGCACTTTCTGCCACTGTGACAAAATACCCAATAACCCATAAGGAGGAAAGGTTATTTGGGCTCATGGATTCAGAGGTTTCAGTCCATGGTTGGTCGGTCCTGTTGTTTGGGCCTGTAGTGCCTCATCACATCATGGTGGGAGCACATGGAGAAGCAGGATGCAGACACCAGGGTGGCCAGGAAGCAATGAGAGAGACAGAAAAGGGCTGGGGTCCCTCCTGACATCCTCCTCAAGGGCATGGCTCCCCATGATCTAACTTCCCTCCACTTAGTGTCATGTCCTAAAGCTTCCACCCATTACACCAGCACCACAGGCTGGTGATGGAGCCTTTATCAGATGGGCCTTTGTGGACTGTTGGATCCAAACCATAGCAACTGCTTTTCTCAGATGGGGAAACAGAGGCACAGAGAGATGAATGTGTGATGTGCTCACAGCTATAGAGAAAATTCCCTGAGCCCAGGGAGGAATGAGGGTCTCTGGCTTAGCAGGTCCAAATTTCTCCTCTCCATTATTGCTCATTTCCAGTGCAGGGCATGGCTAACTTCCGGCTTTGGACTCTTTCTGCTATCCAGACAGCAAGAAAGTGCTGCTGTAGGAACTCGGTTAGAAATATTTTCCTCTGGAAAGAAACATGGGTGGTCCTGAAACATCTTGGTGCTGGTAAACAAATGTAGACACTGGAGAGACAAGATGAATACAGAGTCCCACAAAATGCTGTTTTGCTTTTTGTTTTCTCTTTTTGAGCCTAAGGCTTTCTCCTGACTTGAGCTGGAGGCCCTACTTCCTTTGGGCTAGATGAGGATTTGCTACTGAAGAGAAGTGAAGAAAAAGAGCAGGGAAGGGCTGTCCCTGTCTTTAGAGCCCAGAGGGGTGGGCCCGAGGGCTCAGTGTGTCAGTCTCATAGAAGACGGGGGATCTGTGGGTCCCCGAGAGCCTACCGTAGGCTGGAGCAAGAACAGGGAAGGATGGGGTGGAGGGGGTGCAGGAACAGTCCTGCTCTTTCTGTCCACCATTCTAGAGGAATTGCACAAGGAGGAGAGAGAGCCATTGGAAAATAGAGCAAATGGGTGTGGCGTTTTGCTCTATTCTGGCTCTGGCTTGGGCTGGGCAGGTGCGGGAGGAAAGTGTGGGTCGTGTGGGTGGCACTGGGTCCTTGGCCCTGCGGTGGCCTCATCACAGTCCCCGAGGCAGCAGACTGCTGGGAACCAGGGGGTTTCCTGTCCTCTCTCAGCCCTGGCTCCACACGGAGGGGAGGCTGGAGGCTGCAGCTGCGGGACAGGGGCGCCTTGGAGCTGGGTGGCTGGATCCAGGGCAGGTTTATCACAGGGATCTTTGACCATGAGGGGAGCTGGGGAGCACTCTGCTGAGCGGACCCAGGGCTCCCTGGCCAGGCTGCAGATGTTAAGCGGGGAGAGAACAGCACCGAGTGGGCTCCCTCGTCACCCAGAGACCAGACCGGGCTGACCACGATGTCCCCAGACATCCAACCCCCCCAAGCCTCCTCGTGCCATGTACCCATGTGCTCTTTGTGGAGAGGCATCGAAGGCGCAGAAATGAGGAAACAGCAGACTAGTACAGGACACAGATTGCCACAGGGAGGAGCTGCTTGCACTTTGAGACTGATGTACGTTAGGCTGCTGGTTTCCCTGCCATCAGGAGCAGGGCTGACCAAGAAGACGGATGAGACAAACAGACCCCGTGCCTCCTGTCCCTGTGGCTCTCCTGTGAATTACAGGGGTGAGCCCACCTCTCTTGTTTATTTTAAAAACTAGAGGTGGGCTCTTACAGGTTTAGCTGTCAGAACCTGTGAGGAATCAGCACACATCTTATTTTGGACAGGAAACTGGAGACAGTGTGGGTCAGAGAAGAGAGCTTTCTGCAAATTGTAAGTGAGGTGCTGTCCCAGTGTTGCTCACTGGTTGACAGGGAGGCTGTCTTCGGAGGGCTCCTCTGGGCCTGTCCCTGTGCTGACTGAAGTGTAAGTGGATTAGATGGGCAGTTCTAACAGAAAAATGCATCTGAAAAAATCAAAATGTATAGCCACTTATGCCCGAAGCCTCAGACCTCCAGTGACTGGCGTAGCTCTGTGAGACAGATCTCAGACCTCGAAGAAACAGGCTCCCCTGCTGAATAGACAGACACTTCTGTCTCCAGATGGGCCTGCTGGCTTCTCAGTCTACCAAGGATGCCACATGGGGATTTCTTGTTTAGTGACACATACTTTGGAACTCTCGGCCCTGGGGCCAGTGCTTCTGGGTCTCCCACAGGAAGGCCAGTAAAGAGGCAGAAGATGCCTGAGCAAATCCACACAACACAGCTGAATTCTGGTACCAGATTCTGGGCTTGCTCTGGGTGTCCTGTGCAACCCAGGAGAAAAATAAAACTGAGTTTTGATTTTCTCATTTGGAAATGGAGACAGTCACATCGCTGCCCAGGATTTTGCAAGAAGTAAATGTCTCTCTGTGAAAGCTCGTAGCTCTGTTTCGGTCTGTGCTTGCTAGACCCATGACAGGTCGTCATCTTCATTAAAATCCGAAAGTGAAGGTGACCCTGGGAGATACACCTGAGGGAGGTGTAGAGGATTAACTAATGGGCCACTCAGAATGCCCAGCTGAACTGAATCAGTGTGGGTCTGGGCGCGGAAGACCCACCTGAGGATTGTTGTCAAGGGCATAAAAGGAGACCTAGAGGGGAAAATTGGGGCTGTTTTTCTTGTGTGGTTTTCCTGATGCAAACTTGGCTATTCTCATCGGAGGAGGAGCTCAGTCCTCACTGTCACTGGGAAGGGCTGCTGTTCTTGTCAGGGGAGCCCTGATCTTCACTATGAGCATCGCTTCCTGGCTCCAGTGCAGATCCCTCAGCCTCGTGGTGCAGAGCCTTAAACTGGCTGGTGCAGGCTTTCTGGCTTCCACCCCTGGCCTTTGGGCCTTCCCGGTGCAGATCCTCAATACGGAAAAGCATGAGACACTGCCGTGGGCTCTGGGCCTTCAGCTGGACTTGTGCAGAACATTGCTGTGGGATCCATGCCCTCAGTTGGATCCTTCGGGTTTCTGGTTTGTGGACAGATCTCTTGCACCCCCGCCTCTGAATTTGACCTTTTGGGTGAATAGTATAAAATAATCCTATAAAATATACATCCTGTTTTAAATCTATTCCCTTGCAAGCCCTGGTCAAATTCTGTCTTAGTTACTTTTCTCTCCTTTCTGAGACAAAATACCTGATAACCGAAGTTAAAGCGAGGAAAGGTTTATTTGACTCACAGTTCATAGAAGTTTCAGTCCATAATGGGCTGGCTCCAAGGCAGGGTGGCAGAGGGGCAGCAGCCCATGGCAGCAGAAGCAACAAGAGACCCTAACAATGTCTTTCTGCCCCTTTTATCCCATCCAGACTCCCGGGATTAGGGCGGTGCCAAACCAGTCACTCACGTGTGGTGGTTTAGTAATCACATGCCCTTAACCCCAGCACCACCCACTCTAGATTCAGCTGCCTCTGAGAAAGGAAGCCCCACCTCATCCATAAGAGGCTCTAGGGGGACATCCAAACACAAGCCATAACAGGAGAGGAGTAGGACAGGCTGTTGAAGTCAGGGAGAGAAACAGTAGACGTATCTCGGGGAGAGTGGAGAAAGGATGTGGTCCTTTGAGGGTTAGGATGTCTCTCCAGTTGTCCACAGCATCAGCTGAGACTGTCACGGCTCAAACGTCTGTGACCTTAACATGAACCCTTTCAGAGTGTTCATTCATTTGCAGCTCTATTAAGGTGTGGTTGACAAAGGAAACTTGTCCATGTTTATTCCATACAGCAAGCTGTTGTGATATATGTCTGCATTGCAAAATGATTAAGTCAAGGTAATTAAAATGTCCAGCCTCCCACCGCCATCCCACCCTCCTAGGGCAGAGAGGCTGAGCCGGTCCCACCACTCGGAAGGAAGAATGAATCTGTTGGGCATGACAAATTAAACGCAGAGGGGGAGAGTCCAGCAAAAAGAAAAAGCCATGATAAGGCTTTTAAAACTTTTAACTTCATCTCCCTAATGAGT